CAAGAAGGTGGTTGGCGCACACACGTGTGTGTGTGTGTGTGTCTGTGTGTGTGTGTGAGAGAGAGAGAGAGAGAGAGAGGTCCAACCTCCTAAATTCCACGAATGTCCACCAAACATACGGACGCTGGTGTACACACACGCACACACGCACACACAAAAGGGGAAGAAAGGGGTTTGAGCTGTGATAAGCGGCTCAGGATCATGGTACACCTCCCTCACAGGAGACGAGGCAGTCGCACAAACAAACATGCAACAAAAGTCATCGCGCCACTACTACTCGAGGTAGAATATCATGTGCAATGGCCTGCAACCTGATCTGAACACACGAACTCACCGAATCACTACCCGTCCCAGCCTTCAAATTATTTATCAACATGGAAACTGTTTGGGAACACTTCGAACGCCCAGTTGTGAGGCAGAGAACAGCCGAACATCGGGCAATAGAATGATACGCCTGTTTACTGACAGAAGCACCTCCAGGACCACTTTTTGTCGCAGCCATTAGAGCACTTAAAAGGCTCTCAAAATTGCAAATTTCAGCCTGAACGAGAGCGGCAAAGAATGACTGCAATGTCTGTTGAACAAAAAAAAACAAAGGCAAGACAAGCACAAACCAAGGAAACACAAGATCACATGTTAAAGCACAAATATTAACAGCATACTGAGCATAGGACAAACCAAGGAAGACTGCAATGTCTCTTGAACAAAAACATTCAAAACATACCTTTCTCGGCCTTCTGGCTAAGATAAAGTGTGGTATCTGTTCTGATCAGTTTAATCAACTTTAATGTCTGATCCGTGGTCCATCGGACCACATACAAATAAAAAACCAACACAAATAAGCATAAACCAAGGAAACACAAGATCAAATGTTAAAGCATGAATATTAACAACATAGCCGGCCAGGCTCGCCTGCGCCAGTTCGCCAGAGGCGAGGTCGCCCGGCAAAACCAGACGGGTCAAAAGAGAGGCATAGATCCCTCCCCCAAAGAAACAGGCTCCAGGACAGGACCACACGTGGCCTAAGCAGCCAGAATCCGGCCTTAACTTCGATTTCGGTGATGGGTCATCAAGCGTTTAAAAGGGTACATTTTGACTCATGTTTTTTCATTTATTTTTATGTTAAAATTAACAAGAAAAATTTCAAGGTTTCCCTCAGCCAAACATTGTTTGTATTGCAATTTTACATGACGCTTTTTTCCGATTTTATCATTTTTTAAATGATTATATAGCATCTCGGACCCTGCCCAGACGCTGTACCCAGGCGACCTTCCCCCAGCCGGGCTGCCCGGGGACAAGCACAGCAACATAGCACAAACAAGGAAGAACAACATCCAATGTTGAAGTCTCAGTACTAGCAGCATTACCACATGGATGCTCATGTCAAAGCGCATATCGCCAACCCACAGACCATACACCGGATCATACACCTCATTTCGGCAGCAGAGATACTGTAACAAGGACAACTGCTCAGACAAGCATGTTGTCCTGTGACCTCTCTCTCTCTCTCTCTCTCTCTCTCTCTCTCTCTCTCTCTCTCATGATAGTAAGATATGCTGGTCCTTCTCGTATGTACCTTGATGCATCCAAGATCTGGCCACAGACACCATCAACGCATTTCTAAGTTCTGACCAGCAGATTAGCAAGGAGGAGAACGTTCTGATGGACGAGTCAAGAAGTAATGACAGGATGCTCACAAGGAGTGAAGGAAAAAGTGACGAAAGGGTTGAGATCAAGGATTGCAATCACACTCTGAGAAGGATGAGGAGGTTGCAGTGTGATCACTTTCCCGAAGAATTCAACACGCTTAAGACACCTCGGGGCATTCTCAGAGTAGTACTTCATGGACTCATTCTGGTCACAGTTAGGGTCGAAGTTCTAGTGTGAGTATGCCCTCACACCAATGAAAGCGGCAGATGGTAGACAGCCCAATCAAACCACCAAAACTGATCGGCAGACTTAGTTTCCCCTCCCTCCCATTTGGCTTATTGCAATCTGAAACGCTGAAAAAAAAACAAGGCCTCTAACAAGCTGATCCTCCAAGTGGACAAAAAACAGTCATGCCCACACAAAATGCCAGGGCGAGCCGGAATTGACGAGTATACCTCAAGTGCTTGGCCTTGCAAAAGAGAGCTTCTGACAAGTTCCAGTGCTTGTGGTAGAACCTTCTCTCTCTCTGTTGTACCTGCTGTCTTCCGCTTTTTGTCCAACACCATTGTGCGACAGAGTTCTAAGGCCAGAGCAGACATGTGAAGATCTGACTCACTGCATAGCATGCACCCAGAGACACCATCCCCGCCCCCGCCCACCACCAAACAGAGGACATGAGTGGACTATGACACCAGACACTGTCGTCCCTGCCATAAAAACCCTTGCAACTACCTCTCTGGCTATTTCTTAATGCAGCAGCACTATTTAGAACTGTAGGCTGGAAGTCTTGAGATGGAAGGCTGGCGGCAACAGGGCAACACCGATGTAGGGTTTTTGTTTTGGCAGAAAGCGAATAAAAGCAATTCGTACCAACCGTTTGCATTCACTCGCACGCATTTTCAGAGTCAAGAAAGAGCGGAAGCATTTTTCTTGGCAAAGATTGATGACAAGACGAGGGCGCAGCCATAGTCGGTGGTTGCCGCCCAGCACATTGATTATTCTGCTCCCCCTTTGTTGTATCTCAGGGCTTCACTCTGCTTTCAACATTCTACATGAACACGCACTGCCGTGGGAACCAGATACACAGATTGAGCAATGTATAAGGACCATTACCAGCTCCAGATACATTGAAAATGTTGTGCGGTCCAAAAGCAGGGCGCTTCCAAGCGCCCAGGTTGGCTATATTTATAACAACGAAGGAGTTTTCGAAGTCTTCTCTCAGGTATGTTTGATCACCTGCTTGATGTCAGCACCTGTGTTTCATATTTGCTAAACACCACCCTATGAAACATGGGTGACAACCAACGGGCCTAGTTCAGTTGGCACATCCATGAACTGCAAAACGCAGACAAAAGTTCAAGTCCAGATGCAATCAGATTGAGAGGACTGAGCCCTCATGGGGCCCTAACAGACGTGCAAGTGTTCTCAGCTGTGGGACCCAACAAGCCTTGTGCCCAGCCTAAGTGAAGGCGGGCCTGAATCCACAAGAGGGCCTATTTTCAACATTTTCCATATGTGGGTACACAGACAGTTGCAGCACGCCAGTTGGTTGCAGGAAAACGTGAGCCTCCGTGCTCTTTCCAGAAATCAAGGACTGCGCTATGCTGTTGAGCCCAGGGACGGGTGGTTGTGCCCTGGGCACACGCAGTGTGAGGCCGACAAATCCCACAGCGGCCACGGATGAATGAGAAAGCAGCATTGTTGTCACACAAGGCCAACCCTTGGAGCATGGGAGCCTACCTATATGTGCCCAACCAAAAAGGGCCCAGGCCATTAACTGTAGAGGTGGGCCTGGGCGCAGAGACTACAGTCTTCCCCCGAATACAACGTACCGTCATTATAGCTGAATTTGGGGTATCTTTCAGTCTAAATAGAGCCATAATGACCGTACATTGTATTCGGGGGAAGAAGGTAGGGGCCCACTGGAAGCTACTGGAAACTTCCCCAGCCAGGCCCAAGCAGACACACACAGGGGTTGCACTTTCCATAAAGGAAAGAGGCCAACCCAGGGGGAGGCATTCGGGCCTTGGCCTGCAATGCAAACACACTGCTTTGTTGCTGCGCTAGCATTTGCATGGGCCTGCAGGTCAGACGCGCGCACGGGCACAGAGGTGAGGGGCACTGTAAGCGCAGCGGGCGCACAGCAGCCATAACGCAGTTGATGGCAAAGGTGGTCTTTGGGTAGGAGGCTCATGCTGTGGGGAGACGAGGGGTGATGACGAGAGGAAAGAGAAGTGATCGGCATTGGTGTTGACCTCACACACATTGGTCTTCGACTTCAGAGTGATCCAGTTGCGAGAATGTAGATAGGCTGAATAGGATAGGCTGGGCGCTGGGCGCTAGACAGTAAGTGCGACATTGGATACAGGGTTGGTGTGACCAAGATACAGGGTTGGTGTGATCAAGAGTGGCGACATTACCATTCAAGTTCATTGTATTGCTCTTCTTTGGATGGTATCTTGGTGCATTGCACTCTCTGCTTGGTTCATGACTATCTGAGCTACTTCATGATTTTGCAACTTGGATTTCTGTCTATCGCTCTCGCTCATATTCCTTGCAAGATGAACAGAACAGCGTAATTCTGAATTACCTGCAGACCGTCAGTTGAATGGCGCCATCACAAGGCCGTCACCCTTTAAAAAGAAGGGAAAAAAAAACTTCAGAGAAGGGCAAAAAAAGGTGCCTAATACTGACTATAGAAAAAAAACGCGCGACCATGAGAGACTATTCTTGCATAGCTGCAGCAATCAGGGACACTCAACAGCAAACACTCTACTGCGCCCAAAGAATCACAACCAAGATCTGTGCGCCCCGTTTATTGCTTTACCTGCCCCTTTTCTTGCCTTTAAATGCCACGACAGCACAATCATCGATGGAAAGATACCGATTTATATTATTTTTACTTAATTTGAGCCCACCTTGCACAATCCATACCGATACAAAGGTACAAACTACATTATTCTGAACCACCAGTCCATCCGAAACTGATTGACGAACCAAGAGCTGCATTTTTCCGGGTCTATACAATCTACAAAGCCAGCCTCACAAAAAAAAAAAACACAGTTGTCCGTTACCACCAAGCCTCTGCCGGGAGTGGGTACCGGATTTTGGGCCAGTATTTGTGTTCGAGCAAAATCTACAGTGCCGCACACGGATGGACTGGTGGTTTAAACTTTACGTTGAATGCACCTGCTGTAATTCATACTAGTGTACAACTGTATAAGTGCACATAATCCACAGTCATCATTCTCATAAACAAATTACTAGCAACCATGTACCTTATCAAAGATGAGAGCTCTGTGATGATGGCATCGTAATTCTTTGCACTTATACGGCTTCCATATGCCCTCACGAGCGAATTGAGAATAATCCACAGTCATCATTCTCATAAACAAATTACTAACAACCATGTACCTGATCAAAGATGAGAGCTCCGTGATGATGGCATCGTAATTCTTTCCGCTTATACGGCTTCCATATGCCCTCACGAGTGAATTGAGAGTAAACAGGGATGCCTGTCGCAAAGCGCGATTCGCCTGTTGATGAGATAGCAAACAGAGGCACGACACAAATGCTCCCTTGTCAGCACGCAAAGCAGACCAGTGATGCCAATTAACCCGACTCATTGCATTCTAATGCTTTGCACTGACAGAGCTTCCATATGCCCTTACAAGCAAATTGAGAGTGAAGAGAGACGTCTGATGCAACGGACGATTTGCCCACGATATAACAAACCGACACACGCTTATCAGCACACAAAGCAGACAAATGTCGCCAATTACGTCGATTGATTATCGAATACTTATTTCTAGTAATTTTCTACTTACTTTTTTTTTGGTTACTGAGCCAGGCACTTCACCTGGGGAATGGCACTTTTTTGAAGTTTTTTTAACAAACTGATTTGAGTGAAAGAGGACCACCTCCACAACTGACTCTACTGAAGCAGCTGAACGCCTCCACATGACTGGCCTCTGCTGGTTTGACATCCACGACATCACCAAAGCAGACCGGTTGCTGGTTCGACACGCCTGTTTGACATCCTCAACATTGCCAGAAGGCTAACCAGAAGAGTTGCTGGTTTGACACCTCCATCCCCACTTGCTGTTCCATGCTGCCCCTGCACACGGGCCCCATTTGCGGGCCCCGACAGTTGCTGAGGGGCCCCCAGGCCGCACGCTGTCCAGCGCGCACCCTGGAGACCCACGGCGGCCCTCTAGGCCGCAGGCAGCACTCACTTAGTATTTATTTATTTATTTATTTATTTATTTATTTATTTATTTATTTATGTGCTGTCCTATTTTTGACGGTTCAGGCACCTTTTCGGACTTGCAGTCCCCAAGGCAAGGGCTTGGGCTGGGTGCAACGGATGCAGGGCCGAAACAGCCCCAGGCGCATTTTGGCGCCCTGCTGCACCAGCAGCACGGTCTGGGCCCCGGTAGGGACCTCGACCGTGTGGGCCGTTCTAGGCCACACAGCAGGTTCCCCAGAAGGGCCCAGCGCACTATATAGCTGGGCCTCTCGCTGGGCAGGGGACAGTTGGGTCGCTCTCTTCTTGAGTGACACTCTGCTGGATGGAGGCTGCGCTATGCTCCGCTATTCCAGCGTTGCGCTGCTGGGCTGGGGAGGAGAGGCGCACAGGGTAGAGAGAGGCGGAGGCCTATCTGCAGCGGCGGACTTACCTGGCGCCATAGCTGGGACTCCGCACGGTACCTGCACAGGACGACCACATCGTCAGCACAACGGCAGCTACCCGCACATGAGACAGCAAGGAGGACAATCTTCTTCCTCCTCGCCCTCCATCTCATCTCTCTCTCTCCCTCTTCTTCCTCCCTCCATCTTCTTCTTCAGATACGAGAGTGAGAGAGACTATTGGCAGAAGATATTGGCAGAGGTTACGGTGGGCATGTTGCCCAGGATCTGATTCAACATTCATGAGGCAGACATTGATTGGACATTGGCAAGGGACTATTTTGGACTTCGCTATTGCGATCTTGGACTTCTCCCTCGCCTCCATCTTCGTCCTTCCTCTCCCTCCATCCCTCGTCTATGGGATCTCCCCATGTGCGTGTACAAGGAGGGACCATTCTTCTTGGTGTGCGGTCCCTCCTCCCCCTCTCACGTGTGTGATGTATGATGGGATGTCGTGTCAGTCCCGGTGAGGTCAGGACTAACCTTGAAGTCTTCCACTGCGCTATTGAGTGCCATTTCGTATGTATCAGGATGTACATTGCCTGTTGATGCTTCACTAACATCGCGTTGTCCATTCAGTCCTTTTCATCACATTGTGGATCCTTGGCTGTACATCATTGCCCAACTGGGCATTTATCACTTGCCAGACTTGCAAACCGATAACAAGAATCACGACAGGTGCAATCGAAGCCCACAAATCCAATGACAACAAGGAAAACATGGCATGGGAAACGATTGAGCAGATGGCGGGGCGGAGGCGGGGGGAGGGGCAGAGGGAGCAGGGGGAGGGAGAGAAAAGACCAATAAAATGCAGGTGACTGCTATGTGCTCTCTAAAAGCAGAAGCATTCAGGGCTCCCGTTGCTCATAAAAGAGTGTGAGTGGAGAAGATAATTAACCGCAGTGCATATGTGCGCCGACTCGCTCTCATGAAGCTGTTGCTTCCGACTTCAATTCATGATTAGGTTACATGAAGGGAGTCATAGCGAGAGTGCGGTGATACAATGAAATGGAGGAAATCATGGCAAGAATACGCCAAGTCAGTCAAGTATGCTTGACCATGGCCGAAGGCAAACGAGAGCCCAACACATAGTGGTGAAGAAGGGGAGAGGAGGAGAATACCTTTCGCAGGAATGTGGTAAGCTCCGTCACAACAGGTTCCAGGACAATTGACAAGTCAATGCCCAGCGGAGACTCTGCGATAACTGCAAATGCCTGTGAAACATAGCCCAAGGAGTAAACGGTTGGTTACCAACGAGTCAGCTTTCGCTTAACATACAAGTGTTTACACATGCAAATCTGTTTCACAAGCTGATGCCCGTCAATGCAACTCCACAGGACAGGTGGATGCTCCAGACACCATCCATATTTAGAACTGCCAAAGACCCGAAGACATCACGCAGTTTCATATTGGACACAATACCAGACCACTGCACTGTGTGATGATGCATAGGACCACAAACTTGTTACAATCCTGTTTTCAGAAACCTTGCAGCCGTCCTTCAGGACATCCATTAACATTGGAATGATAAACAGAAGATTGGCATGGCCCCTGTCCAAGAACGACAAACATAGATTGAGAAATGGTTCAAATTATTGCAAAAAAAAAAAAAGAAACTTGCAGCTTTGGTCCGCTACTCACACAACATTACTGCATTTCGTGCATTCATTCTTTTCTCCACAACTGCATCCGACGACTGACAAAAGAACTGATAGTCATTCCACCTCACAACAGGTTCTGGCGACAGAGAGAAAACTGGTGTGTGTATGGAAAGAGAAATGCCAGTATCAGGGCGAGAAAAGAAGACGGCTACATCCTTTTGGGCAAATGCTAGACAGATGCAAAGCTTTAAGACTATCTCAGAAGAAAAGGAAGTCGTATCTACATGACTACCACCTGACAACTTCCCCAAAACAAAACGAGCAAGCCACTAAAACTGTCTCATACCCCTGGATATTGCCCCGGATAAAGGTAGAATCAACCCACATTCAATTCAGGGGGAAGTCTGCAATTGCAGTTTAAGTTCTATATCACACAAGTAGGACCAGCACCGTTTCTGCTTCTGTGAAGAGAGACTTGAGATCCCCAAGAGTCTTTTCTCATAAACCCGCGGGTCTTCTATTGGGTGATTACACTTCTGAGGTGAATGCTTCAACAACTGCTTGCAAGAGTCAGCGCAGGATCAACACTTGCTTTGATCCCTTTTTCTTCTTCTTCTTCTTCTTCTTCTTCTGTTTTTCCTTTTGGATCAGATATTAAACTGATCAGAACAGATACTACACTTGATCTTAGCCAAAAGACGGAGAGAAGTTACCTTGTTCTCCCTGGATTCTTTCCTCTGTGATATTTTCTCGTCAGTCACTTTCTGCCATACTTGTTCTTCCGTTTTATGCATCCACAGTCGTACCAGCTCCATCCATAGACTTCCCAAGCACACAAAGAAACTCTCTCTCCCTGTAGCTGCTCACACACAGTCCACTTTTTCTCTACCCCCCAAAACACACCAACAAACAAGAAGGAAACCACATCCACTAGCTCCCAGCCATATAATGACACAGGAGGGACCACATCACAATGCTGGCAGAGGTGGGCTATCGTCTTCCAGAAGCTTTCACCTTCACGGCTGTGAGTCTTGTAATCTCATTTCGCAATCTGTCCAGCAAGATTGGGAGGCACGTTGCCAGATCGCCGCGGAGGTGGTCCCCGAGCATGGAGACGACTATCCCCATGCATGAAATTGCACATTCCTTGACCTCCTGTTTAATTACAGAGACAGACAGACAGTCGTTGACAACAACACAAATATCAGAAACCACAACCTGGTGGGCGGTGCCGCCACGAGAGTCTCGACTCAAGCGGACACCAACGTAAAGTTGTAAACACAACCCTAAGCAAGACTACGATAAATCAACAGGAATCGACAGAAGTAAATACGGAAATTTAAAAAACGAACATTCAGAACAACAAAGTTGAATAAAGTTCAATAAACTTCATATGTTTAGGTTTAGATACACCCACTTCACCCACTGGGCCCCGGTGTGTAGATTGTGTAAAGATAGGCTCCAAACAACACCTCCAAGCAAAAGCCTCATCAAACACACCTCACAACTCCCAGCAAGTGTGTGGATTGTTTCAGAAACAACCAAGTCCAAGCAACTCGTCCTCTTCTCAAAGAAACCGACTCCAAGCAAGACACTCATCAAGTGACATCAACACATCTGACAATGCCAAGCGAGATGACCACTCCGACACTCAAAATTCTCAGGCGGAAATTGTTCACTTGGGTCACCGTAAGATAATTTCGAGCATTCGATTGTTTCAGAAAATTTCTGCCATGACTGTCTCTCACAAACCACAAAGCACGGTGTACAGGGAAATCCGAGTGATCGACCAATCAGTCGTTCAATCGACTCCGATGGCTTCTGATTGCTGATGTTCATCCTCGGAATCACGTAGAAACAGTAGAACTCTAAAACTAAACAAAAAACAAACAAGTATGGCCATTGCAGGCCACACCGCCACGCCGAAGATAACTCGTGAGCGTTCTGTCCAACCAAAGGGGGGGGATTGACGCATCATGCATGTATTACTGGTGCAATGAGCAAACAAAGCAGAGTCCCCCCCCCCCCCAAAAAAAAAGGCAGAATCAAAGACAACTGACAGGTCTTCCTTGAATAGTCCAATGAAGTGTCTGGATCATGGTCGTCCTGGCGGTTTGCAGCTGGAGGTGCTGTGAGACATTCGTTGAAGAAAAGAAAAAGAAAAAACAAAGGACAGGCCTTCCAAAACACCAGCCAAGAGGGCAGAAAAGTTGGAAAAAAAAAACGACCAAAGTTCAACAAACAACAATGGTCTGCACAGCAAAACAGAAAGGAGGGTGGTTATGCAAACACGCCTTCATATGTACACAGGAGGACATCAAGTCCGCATGGCCATTATGGGCTGGGCCAGCCATAATTCTTGGCAATTGTTCATAATTAAAACTTTACAGAAATGGGGCGCTGGCACTGGGAGATGTGGGGATCGCCTATTTCTTGGTGGCACCTGGTGCCAATGCCCAAGGGTTCTGGGTAAAGATATAAACATCCAAACCAAAGGAAAAAATCGATATGGTTTGACCCATACTTGCAAGCGTCCGGTCCGGTCCGCTTTGCCGCGTGCGGCACCCTCCACCCAGACCGGACCGGACGGGGCCGTTTTTTTTTTTTGGGCAGGGGGGGGGGGGGGGGGAACTGGTCGTCGGGCGCACATTCGTGCGCCGCGCGGGTCCGGTCCGGCGGTCTGCCGCACGTGCGGAACCGCCCAGACGGCATCCGCCTGCAAGTATGGTTTGACCGTGATCGTTATGCTGGGTAAAAAGGAAAGAAACACAACCAGACTACAAAGGAATATGCGCACTCAGGATGGCCTTGATTTCCCTAGTGATAAGCCCAACATGAGTGCGTTACTTTACATTCGAGATTGGATGGGGTGATGGCCACAGTTCCCACCAAAGAATGCTCCCCACCAATGGACTGGTATGAAGAAGCGAAAGAAATCAATTAATTCAAAAAGCAAAAGATCTGACAACACAACACCCAAAAGGAAAAAAAGAATAAGAAAAACTGACAAGGACCAACAAATAGAAAGGGGTCGGATTGAAAAGGGAAAAAGAAAAAGGAAAGGGTCAGATTGCCTTTGGCAAAAACAAAGACCAGCTTCTCAACAAGAATATTCCTACAGATCGATGTGCAAAACAGCTGCCAGTGGTGTTCGCCTACCTGATCTTGGTCCTGCGCCATCAACCGCTTCAAGACAACAGTGTAGAGTGGATGAACAAAAGGTGCAAATTCGAATTGCGGTGGCTGCTAACAACCAGAAAACAGTAGCAAAGAAACACAAAGATGAACAAACTGCGGTTTAGAAATGACACCACATTACCCTTCCTGCTGCTGTCCGCCATGCACAGTACTCGACCAGAAACCGATGAACACTCAGGGAATGCACTAAGGTTCCATTAAATATCCAGAAGTTCTTTCAAACCGTAGACTTTAAGACTTTAAGTTCAGAGTGCAGAATAAAAAACAGAAAACAACTGCACTGAGGAAAAGGGAGACACAAACACAGAAAAACATGGGTGGCTCCATGCCAACCATCTCTGAAAACAAGAAAAGGGTCAACTCATGAGGGTGGATATGCTTCCTGAGAGCTTCCTGCACAACTACGAATGCATCGGGTCCACTGCACTTCACAAAAGTCACTAGATCCAGTCCGTGTGTTTTGCTCTGTATGAGGTCGCAGCCCAGGCCCCAGAGGGAGCTCCAGTTATGGCACCGGCACGTCATTATCATTCTCCTAAGCCGATTGCCCCCCTCTACACCATTCCACCTCTCTCTCTCTCTCTCTCTCTCTCTCTCTCTAGTGAAAAGTGGCGCCTCAAACTGATGATGCCATGTAGGTATGAGGTCGCAGCCCAGCCCCCAGGGGGAGCTCCAGTTCTGGCACCAGCACGTCAGCATCATTCTCCTAAGCCGATTGTCCCCCTCTACACCATTCTCTCTCTCTCTCTCTCTCTCTCTCTCTCTCTCTCTCTCTCTCTCT